GCTTGTGACGTGAAATGAGGGGCCACCCTGAGCTTGAAGTGGCTCGATGCCCAAGCAGTTGGTTCATTTTGTGCATCGATGGTGCTCATACCTTTGTCTCCCATCCTCTCAATTTCCCAAACACCTTGGTCGTCGAATGCTCCTCCTGCTCAAATCAATCTCCCAGCGAGCCGCTTAATTTCATTCTGCTTCGCCTATTGCTTTACTGTTTTAAGAATCCCGCTTAGTAACTCTCCGCCCCGTCCGCTTTTGTTTTCTTTTCCCAATCCCGCCCCCCTATCTAACAGGAAATATGCGCATAACTGCGAGCTAAAGTTGGCACTCTCCGTGAGCGGCGCCGTGTGCAGCTTTGAGCGGCACGCCGTTCATCGCACTGAGCGCGATTACGACTGCGAGCCTCGATTCCAGTGCCATCTCGGAGCACAGCATGCGCTCACGCTCCCGTGCCATCGCCGCCACCCAATACCTTCAACTCCTTGTGCACCTACTCGAGGTAGGTTTTCTCCAAGGCACTTCATAACTCTACGGACCGCCACTTTTGCTCTTCATTTAAAAAAATTCGTGTTGCTAATCTGCAGAGTGCCTGGGGTCTGTGCAGAGTCATGGCGATCGTGTCTTGATCATTTTCTCAAACTACAAGATAAGTCATCAAGTTGGACTGCACTGCATCAACCGCCGTAAGCATGGGTATTGTCGAGGCGTTTTTATTATTATTGTTATTATTATTATTTTAACTGGTTGCTAAGTGGTTGCTTTTCACCCCTAACCCAGTGCTCCGTTTGTGTGTTGGATGTGTGTGAGCAATGTGCAGTTTGTGGTGTTACTAAGTTGAGTATGATATTGGCTATTAGGGATAGATGGTTAGGCAAAAGGATGAAATATGTCCATGTCAGCGTATTAAGTAAAGTGTATAATGCTGAGTTCTAAACATGTGCCTTAAATTATAGTGGAAATTACTGGATAGCCATAAAATGCCGCATTACAGGAATTTGTAATATTTTTAAATACTTTTGTATTGTGCATTGCATATATGTTGTTTTATGCCTAAAATAATTTCTAGAAGCCATTGCAAAAAAACACTAGATATTTCGATTAATGACGTCTCCATTTTTTACAATCACATCTGGTTTAAGCTCATAAAATACTCACATAAATGTATTTGTAGACTTTTGCAGATTGACGTGTATTTTACTACTGGTTGTTGTACCAATATCGATGTGCCCTGTACAAGGTTTACACAATCCTCTTTCAAAGAATGTGGAAACCACAATCAATCCTTTTGAAGTATCCCCAGAGTTGCATTGAACTTACCCACCCTATTCATGTACAATGCGCATAGTAAACCTAAAAGTGTGTTTCCACCAGGTACTTCGAACATTGTTCGCACTAAGTGCGTTCATTGTTTTTGGCCCAAAATCTTTGTGGAGTAGGGAAGCTGATAAGGCAATGTGACCTAATATCGGCGTGGTGGGCACGCTCATCGTCTAGGGCATTGGCCATGTGCGTCGCTGCGACTCTCATGGCCCTTACGAGCCTGAATCGAGGTCACGACCTTTATATAACCTTAACCTTACGAGCCTGAATCGAGCTTAGTTTCATCCTTGAGGTGAGGGGCCCACGCCATTGGCTGGCCAGGTGCGTTGCTGTGGCAAGGACCGGCGTTACGTTACGTTCCTTTGCCTTTCGACTCTGTTACACCTTCCCGGATTAGCCTCGGCGTGTCATTTGTGTTGCGTTCTGGTCCACCCTTCTTGCTCCAAATTCTGTACTTTGTCCTTCTTAAAGCCTTCAAATGTTCTGGTTCACTTGCGTTGCTGAGATCGGTGGTCGGAATCTGTCGTGTGCTTGTAACGCAGGAGCGGATAATGAAGTTCCCGTACGGTGACAGGGACGAGGACTCGGAGTACTTCCAGCACTCGCTCTTCATCGTGCTCTGTAACCGCCTCATGACGTGTGGTGTGGCAGTCATCGTGCATCTGGTGAGTCAGTCAATGGCCTTTGAGTCAACTCTTTAACATGCACCGCTCTTCATCGTACTCTGCAATCGCCAAATGACGTGTGGTGTGGCAGTCATCGTGCATCTGGTGGGTCTGTCAGTGCCCTTTGAGTCAACTCTTTAACATGCACCGCTCTTCATCGTGCTCTGCAATTGCCAAATGACGTGTGGTGTGGCAGTCACCATGCACCTGGTGAGTCAGTCAGTGCCCTTTGAGTCAACTCTCAAACATCTTCCTTCCCCTTCATCGTGCTCTGCAATCGACTCATGACGTGGGCTATAGCAGTCATCGTGCACTTGGTGAACCGATTCCCTCTGATTCAGCTCTACTCTAGCATCTCAATCTCCATCATGCTCTGCAATGCAGCCGACTCATGTCAGTGCTCAGCTCAGTGCTCTGATGAACCCACCTGCCAACTTACAGGACGAACTAGATACTGTACAGCGTACACTATTGAGCTAATGATCGTACCGTGTGCTGCATCCATCATAATCATCCACCGTACAGCCCTGTCCGGTAAATCTACAGTACTTTACACACAGCTCACAAACCCCACATTGTGTTCCATCCATCCCCAATCATACACATGCAGGTGACAAGAGCGTCGTTGGCTCTGGTGGCTCCCATCTATGCCTATGGCGCTGTGTCCCTCTCCAATGTCATCTCGTCCGGGTGCCAATACGAGGTACGCAGGACGCTGCAATGATCGCTGTATTGGCTTTTGAGGCGCCTCAAATGGCTGGCGCTGTGTCACTCTCCAATGTCATTTCCTCTGGGTGCCAATACGAGGTACGCTGCATTGATCGCTGAAATTTGAGTCGACTCAGAAGTTGAATGTAGTTGTGATGTGCATGCAAGAAGAACTTCTTTCACCTTTTTCCCCTTACCTCTTAATTGAAAAAAATCGCCAACAGTGTTGTCCCTGTCTTCCCTCCCACCCACCCACGCGCCCTTCTTGGATACTCACCCCCCCCAAACCCATCTTAACCCCTCCCTAATCCTCCCAACCTCACAATAATCCTCCCAACCCTACCCTGTGCTCCCAACCCCACAAAAGGCTCTCAAGTACGTGAGCTTCCCTCTGCAGACCATAGCCAAGTCATCCCGCATGGTGCCCGTGCTGGTAAGCCATGCAACCCAGCCACGTGCCATGTGACCAACCGAACCATGCCTCCAGCATCGCGTCATGCCGCACCACCACCGCATCATGCCACCACGTCATACCATGCCACACCGCCCTAATTCCGTCGTCTCGTGTACCATGCTGCTGCTGCAACCATGCTGTTACAACCATGCTGCTGCTGCAACCATGCTGCTACTTTTGCAGATCTGGGGCACGCTCATATCGCACAAGCAGTACAAGCCCAGGGAGTACATCATCGCCATGGCCATCATCCTAACTCTCTCTCCTATACCATTATTCAATTATGTTGTGACAACCATGCTACACCCATGCCGCTGCTGCTGCAGATCTGGGGCACGTTGATATCGCACAAGCAGTACAAGCCCAGGGAGCACATCATCGCCATCACCATAATCCTCGGCTCCTGCCTCTTCTTCCTCAACGTGGTGTGCCTCCCCTCCCTCCTTCTTTGTGTGTTTGTGTGTTTCGTTGTTTGTGTGTTTGTTTGTTTTCCATCATTGTTGAGTTACTTTGCCTTGTGCATCCTTGTTGCTACATTCACTTTCTTCACCACTCTCAGCTCTCAGTTCCAGTCTCTTTCTGCCTTTCCTTCACATTTGTATGTGACGTGAATAATCAGTCAGTGTTGACTCGTCATTGCTTGCTTGTTCTCGTCTCGGGGTTCACTTTGGCAATCAATAAAATCGCATGCAACCCTCCTCAACGTGTGACCCTTCCTTCCTTCTTCCTTTCCCTTCCGTTTCCTTGCTCTCCCTCCGTCCGTCCGTCCCTCCCTCCCTCCCTCCCTCCCTCCCTCCCTCCCTCCCTCCCTCCCTCCGTCTCTACACACCCCATCTCCCACATCCACCCCCTTTTCTTCCCCCGCCCCGTTTCTCCCCTTTCCTTTCCCCCTCTCCACCACCTCCCACTCTCGTCTCCCATACGGCACCTGTACACGCTCGTGACTCATCTCGTCCCCATCCCTGCCACGGCCCATGCCCCGGGTTAAGGTGTCAAGACTGCACGCATGAGTGTCAAGAGCACGTTCTCTGGCCTCCTGCTCATGCTCGGATACCTGGGGTAAGGCAGAGAATGTATGGGATACATGCGGTACGGCGGTGCGGTGTGTGTATTGGATGTTTGTGGTAAGGCGGTGCATGAATGGGATATATGGGGTAAGGCGATGCATGAATGGGATATTTGGGGTAAGGGGTGCATGAATGGGATATCCGGGGTAAGGCGGTGCATGAATGGGATTTCTGGGGTAAGGCGGTGCATGAATGGGATATCTGGGGTAAGGCGATGCATGAATGGGATATCTGGAAGGCGATGCATGAATGGGATATCTGGGGTAAGGGGTGCATGAATGGGATATCTGGGGTAAGGCGATGCATGAATGGGATATTTGGGGTAAGGCGGTGCATGAATGGGATATCTGGGGTAAGGCGCTGCATGAATGGGAGGTGCATGAATGGGAGGTGCATGAATGGGAGGTGCATGAACAGGAGGTGCATGAACAGGAGGTGCATGAATAGGAGGTGCATGAATGAGATGTTTGGGGCAAAATCGTGCATGACTGGGAAGTCTAGGGTATGGTAATTAATGTGTGGGATAACTCTATACGTTATTTCCCCCGCCCCCCCCTCTCCCTCTTGTTTCCTCCCATCCATCTTGTTTCCTTGCAAATCTCGCATTCAGCTTTGTCTGTTGACCGACTCATTTTAAAACAAAGCATTTGGACGGCTCCAGCATGCCCCTTCTCCCTTTCTCCCCTTTCCACCCCTCTGTGTGTCCTCTCCGCCTATCCCTCCACTCCATCCCACCCTCCCAGCTTTGACAGGCTTCACCAACACGTTTCAGGAAAAGCAGTTTGAGAGCTACTACATGCCACCCCTTCTCCCTCTCTCTGTGTCCTGCTCCTTGCGCCTCTCCTTGCGCCTCTCCTTGTGCCTCTCCTTGCGCCTCTCCTTGCGCCTCTCCTTGCGCCTCTCCTTGCGCCTCTCCTTGCCCCTCTCCTTGCGCCTCTCCTTGCACCTCTCCTTGCGCCTCTCCTTGCGCCTCTCCTTGCCCCTCTCCTTGCCCCTCTCTTTGCACCTCTCCTTGCGCCTCTCCTTGCGCCTCTCCTTGCGCCTCTCCTTGCGCCTCTCCTTGCGCCTCTCCTTGCGCCTCTCCTTGCGCCTCTCCTTGCGCCTCTCCTTGCGCCTCTCCTTGCACCTCTCCTTGCGCCTCTCCTTGCGCCTCTCCTTGCGCCTCTCCTTGCGCCTCTCCTTGCGCCTCTCCTTGCGCCTCTCCTTGCGCCTCTCCCTGCGCCTCTCCTTGCCCCTCTCCTCGTCCCTCTCCGCCTGTCCCCTCATCCTCATCCCTCCCCTCTTCCCCCCCCCAGCTTTGACGGCTTCACCAACACGTTTCAGGACAAGCTGTTCGAGGGCTATGACATGCCGGCAGCCAACCAGGTGCTCTACATCACACTCTGCTCCTCCGTCATCAGCCTGCTGGGTGAGTCGCACTGCCTTAACCAGACGCCCTGGTTAGGATGCCTGGCGGGTAAGATGCGATGAGTGGGCTATAACCCATGTGTTGCCAGCCAACCAGGTGCTCTATATCACGCTCTGCTCCTCCGTCATCAGCCTGTTGGGTGAGTGCGATGACCACAGGGTAGGTAATACAATACCCATGTACTATCAAAGTATTCAGCCAAACCAGGTGCTCTACATCACGCTCTGCTCCTCCGTCATCAGCCTGCTGGGTGAGTCACTGCTGCCACCGCGTGCATCTGACCAACCCGGTGCTTCACCTCATTCACGCTACGTCACGCTCTGCTCGTCTGTCATCCCCTGTTGTTAACACAGTGCTGTCGTCGCACTGTGTTAACTAAACGCCCAGGGTAGGATGCCTACCAGGTAAGATGCGATGCGGTGAGTGGGCTATAACCCATATGTTGCCAGGCAACCCGGTTCAGGTGCTCTGAATCACGCTCTGCTCCTCTCTCATCAGCCTGCTAAGTGGGTTTCTGCTGCCACCCATGCAGCCAATCAGGTGCTTCACTGCATTCACCCTACATCACGCTCTCCTGTCGTTGTGCTCTCATGTCATCATGTTGCATTGTGCTGCCATACGCCATATACCCTCTGGGTAGTTGCAAGTTCCAATATCCATTTCAATGTTTTGTTGCTTTTGCCTCGTTCTTCCGTTCTCACTCTCATCTCAACACGCAGTATTTTTGTGTTTCTTGGGTCACAGGCAAATGCACTTCGATGGAGTGTGGGGCCAACGCCACGTGCAGCATAAATGAGGCAGGGGATGCAATCTGTTCCTGTGACAAAGGCTTTGAAACCCTTGCCCATGGCACTTGTGCTGGTGAGGCACAGTGGTGTGAAACCCTAAGACATGCTTGCAGGGTTTTTTTCTTGTTTCTTTGTATTCCCATTTCCATCATCTCAGCACAACCTTTCTTGTGTTGCTTGCAGAGTTTTGTTGTTGTTGCATTGTTTACAGGTTCCCGATTACATCTCGTCACGCGGTTTCTTGTGTTTCTCGGGTCACAGGCAAATGCGCTGCCATGGAGTGTGGGGCCAACGCCATGTGCAGCATGGATGCAACAGGGAATGCAATCTGTTCATGTGACAAAGGTTTCAAAAGGCTTGCCAATGGCGCTTGTGCTGGTGAGGCGTGGTAGTTTGAAACCCCAAACCACGTTTTCCACATTTTGCCGTTTTTGCCTCGTTCTTCCGCTCACACTCTCATCTCAACACACATTCTTTTGTGTTTCTTGGATCACAGGCAAATGCGCTTCGATGGAGTGTGGGGCCAACGCCACGTGCAGCATAAATGAGGTAGGGAATGCAATCTGTTCCTGAGACAAAGGTTTTGAAACCCTTGCCGATGGCACTTGTGCTGGTGAGGCGTGGTGGTTTGAAACCCCAAAGCACGCTTTCAGTGTTTTGTTGTTGTTCCCTCGTTTTCTTATTTGCAATCACATTTCACCACAACTTTCCTTGTGTCGCCTGGGTCACAGGAACATGCGCTTCCATAAAGTGTGGGGCCAATGCCATGTGCAGCATGGATGCAGCAGGGAATGCAATCTGTTCCTGTGACAAGGGCTTCGAAAGGATCGCCGATGGCACTTGTGCTGGTAAGGCGTGGTGGTGCCTGAAACATATTTGTGCTGTCTTGTTCTTGTTGCCTCAATTGCTTGGGTTCGTAAAGAAATATCGCCATTGCTGATGTTTGTTTGCATGAAGCGTTTTGTTTCTGTTGTCATGCTTTTTGGATTCCCAAACGTACCTCAACACAACACTCCTCTTGTCGTGCTGCTTGCGATTTTTTAGGCGCCTAAAAAATCCCAAACGTACCTAAACACAACACTCCTCTTGTTGTGCTGCTTGCGTCACATTCAATTGCGCTTCGATGAAGTGTGGGTGGTTTAGCACTTGCACCAAGGATGGGTCGGGGGTTGCATCCTATACTTGTAACGACGGCTACGTCATGTTTGCAAATGACAGTTGTGTTGGTGAGTGAGACATGGTGGTGACTTTTGAGTCGAATCAAACTTTTGAGGCGCCTCAAAAGTTGGTGAGTGAGACATGGTGGTGACTTTTGAGTCGAGCCAAACTTTTGAGGCGCCTCAAAAGTTGGTGAGTGAAACATGGTGGTGATTTTTTAGTCGAATCAAAAGTCACCAAGGATGGGGCAGGGGTTGCATCCTGTACCTGTAACGACAGCTATGTGACGCTTGCTAATGACAGCTGTTTTGGTGAGAGACGGTGCTCTGAAACCCGAAAGCACGCTTGCACTCTTTTGTGATTGTTTCATCGGTTTCCTGTTCCCAAAATTATTTCTCAACACGGCGTTTCTCATGTTGCTAGCTAGCATGCAGTTTTGTGTTGCCGTTCACACGTTTTGCAACACACCTTTTCTTGTGTTGCTTGCATCACAGTTAGATGTTGGAGGAACTGTGGGGCCAATGCCGTTTGTGGCCGTAATGGGGCAGGAGATTACTGTTTTTGTAACAAGGGCTTCGAAATGTTTGCCGATATGACTTGTGCTGGTGAGTAGTGGTCCTCTAAAATGAAAACGCAAGCTTACAGTATCGTGTACTTGTTTCCTTGTTCTTCCATTCCCGAAAATCTCAAAACTCTTTGTTTCTCATGTTTCTTGGCTGCAGTGTTTTGTTGCTATTGTCTTGTTTTCCTATTCTCGAAATTGTCTCAACTCGACACATTTTCTGCCCTTGTATCACAGACAAATGCGCTTCAATGAAGTGTGGGGCCAGCGCTACATGCAGTATTAATAAGGCAGGGAATGCATCCTGTTCCTGTAACAAGGGATTCGAAATGCTTGCCAATGGCACTTGTGCTGGTGAGGCATGACACGTCTGCTTTGAAGCCCAACCTCGTCCTTGTTCTCTTGTTATCCCGTTCACATAAGTGATCTCAACACATCGTTTCTCATGTTGCTCTCTTGCACTGTTTTGTTGCTACTGACTTGTTTCCCCATTTCTCAAACATGTCTCAACTCAACTCGCCTTTTCCCATGGCACTTGCGTCACAGACACATGCGCCAAGTGTGGGGCCAACGCCACGTGCAGCAAGGATAAGGCAGGGGTTGCATACTGTTCCTGTAATGAGAGCTTTGACATGCTTGCTGATGGCACTTGTTCTGGTAAGGCGTGGTGCTTCGAAACCCAAAAGCACGCTTGCAATGTTTTGTTCTTGTTGCCTTGTTTTCTTGTGTCCAAAATCTATCTCAACACAACGTTCTCATGTTGCTTGCTTTTCGTTGTTGTTGACTCGTTTTCATTCCCTAATCTCAATGCAACATATCATTTCTTGTGACGCTTGCATTAGAAACATTCACTCTCCTGTTTTCAAAGGTGCTCCTGTGTTCAAAGGTGATTTTGTGTTCATACCAATTTCCATCCTATCTTCACGCTTATCCTTCCTTGTCCGCACTCATCACACCTGATGTGCTCATGTTTCAGATGCTGCCTGCTTGGCCTTGGGTTGCTCACCGGGTGGGACATGTCTGAAGCACATTGACAAGAACGTGCGCTATTGCAAATGGGGTGAGCACCCATAATGGGAGGGGGTAGGTTCTAGCAAGGTGTGGTGGGCTTTTCACGGAATGGTGTGAATGTCTTGCAGGTGGCTCCAGAGGGGCACCTTGTCTGAAGCACATTGCAACAAACGTGAGCTACTGCAAATGGGGTGAGCACCCATGATGGGAGGGGGTAGGTTCTAGCAAGGTGTGGTGGGCTTGTCACGGAATGGTGTGAATGTCTTGCAGGTGGCTCCAGAGGGGCACCTTGTCTGAAGCACATTGCAACAAACGTGAGCTACTGCAAATGGGGTGAGCACCCATGATGGGAGGGGGTAGGTTCTAGCAAGGTGTGGTGGGCTTGTCACGGAATGGTGTGAATGTCTTGCAGGTGGCTCCAGAGGGGCACCTTGTCTGAAGCACATTGCAACAAACGTGAGCTACTGCAAATGGGGTGAGCACCCATGATGGGAGGGGGTAGATTCTAGCAAGGTGTGGTAGGCTTGTCACGGAATGGTGTGAATGTCTTGCAGGTGGCTCCAGAGAGGCATCTTGTCTGAAGCACATTGCAACAAACGTGAGCTACTGCAAATGGGGTGAGCACCCATGATGGGTGGGGGCATGTGCTAGCATGGTGTGGCAGGCCCGTCACGGAATGGTGTTGATGACATGCTGATTCTCCACGGCATTAAAATCTAGTGCCTGCTGTTGTGGGACAGCAATGTTTCACCTTTCAGGTTTTTCCCATCCTTGCCAATCTTCAACGATTCTATTGGCATCTCCGCACGCTCTCTGTTCTGAGTCGACTCAAAACGCCTTTCAGGCCTTTCCCACCCTTTCTCATCTTTACGGGTCTATTGCAACCCTGCACTGCTCTACCGCACCCTCTCTTGCCTTTACTGCCTCTCCCAGACTCGCCATGTGGCAGCTTCCCCACTGGAGCCATCAAGTTCACACTTGCTCGTGACAAAAGAAACCTTGTTCCCAACCTTACCCAGTGTAACTTTGCACTGCCCTGCCGCACCCTCTCTTGCCTCTACTGCCTCTCTCAGACTCGCCGTGTGGCAGCTGCCCCGCTGGAGCCACCTGCAAGACCACACCTTCCAAGGCAGGCAACCCAATTCCGTACTGCGCTTGCCCTGACGGCCATGGCATGACCCAAGATGCTTGCATTCAAGGTGTGTCACCACTTTCTTGAGGCATGGTGCTTTACTGTGCCTTACTGCATGTGCCTTACTGCATGTGCCTTACTGCAACTGTCTTACTGCATCTGTCTTACTGCATCTGCCTGCCTTACTGCATCTTACTGCATCTGCCTTACTGC